AAGAGCTCATCTCCTTCGTCAGCCTAGTCATTGCTCCCAGACTCTCCTGCACACTGACAGTGTGGGATGATGCTTGTTCCCCTGCCTCCCCCAGATTTGCACAGACATACGCCTCCTGGCAAACCTCAAGGAGATGGAGGAACCTTTTGAAAAACAGCAGATTGGTGAGTGCTGTGTAGAGACCTATGAGCACAGAGAGCTGCTGGAGGGCTGTGGATAGGGGCTGAGAGCTCATTCAACAGCATAGTTGCCTACTCACTGTCCTCTGAAGTCTCTCTGCCTTTGCATCTTGTCCTTTTTCACATGGGCAGGCTCAAGTGCAATGCCATATAAGCGGAATCCCATGCGTTCAGAACGTTGCTGCAGTCTTGCCCGCCACCTGATGACCCTTGTCATGGACCCGCTACAGACAGCATCTGTCCAGTGGTTTGAACGCACACTGGATGATAGTGCCAACCGGTCAGTGACACGGGGACCTCACATACACCAAGTTGGGAGGAGGTCTGAAGGATGGACCTAGAAGTAAAAGGACATATTTGAGCATCTCTACAATCTCCTTATCCCCAAGGGGCCCAGAGTCTAGGAGGGAGGCAAAACATAAAAAGGACAGTGTAATATGTGTTAGAATTGAAGTGTGTACTGGGTACTGTGGGAGCAAAGAGGAAGGAATAGTGTTTGAGGAATCAGAAAGCTTCACAGTAGAGGTGATGCCTTAACAATTAAGAAATAGACACCTCTTTTAAAGATAAGATCAGGGGCCAGGCACGATGGCTCACGCCTGTAATCCCAGCACTTTCGGAGGCAAGGCGGATGGATCACGAGGTCAGGGGTTCGACACCAGCCTGTCCAACGTGGTGAAACCCTGCCTCTATTAAAAATACAAAATATATATATATATATATAGCTGGGTGTGGCGGCGGACGCATGTAATCCCAGCTACTCAGGAGGCTGAGGCAGAAGAATGGCTTGAACCTGGAAGGCGGAGGTTGCCGTGAGCCGAGATCGCACGACTGCACTCCAGCCTGGGCATGCAGTGCCTCGCCCATCTCAGAAAAAAAAGAGAAAAGATCAGGAGCATTATAAAGGCACAAAGCAGGAGAAAACACACTTGAGGGAGTTACTACTGTTTGAGTAGCCTTGGGGAATGAAGTCAACACGTGCCGGGGGCGGCGCAGGACATGGTCACAGCTAGTAGCCAGTTTATGAAAGGTCTTCTGGGCCTTTTCTGAAGGCAGATAGATGTCAGTTGTGGTGTCTAGGCACAATGACATCTTGATTAGCTATGAGATGAGTCAGAAATAATTTGTAACTACTGATGAGGTGTCAACATGCGCATGGTTTTCTATTTATGTATATGCTCATTTAAAGCAGATTGACATTACTCCCATCTACTTGCATTGTCCTGGGGTTTCTTGAGTGGATACCGATGTATAGTTAAACCTAGCTTTAGCCGGGCGCGGTGGCTCACGCCTGTAATCCCAGCACTTTGGGAGGCCGAGGCGGGCGGATCATGAGGTCAAGAGATCAAGACCATCCTGGCCAACAGGGTGAAACCCCGTCTCTACTAAAAATACAAAAATTAGCTGGGCGTGGTGGCGCGCGCCTGTAATCCCAGCTACTCAGGAGGCTGAGGCAGGAGAATTGCCTGAACCCGGGAGACGGAGGTTGCAGTGAGCCGAGATCGCACCACTGCACTCCAGCCTGGTTAACAAGAGCGAAACTCTGGCTTTAAAAAAAAAAAAAAAACAAAAAAAACTAGCTTTATGGGATCTCTGCATAATCCAGGATTTACCTCTGGAAATAAGTCATGCAAATTCATTCGGAAGTTAGCCATTGAATACTTTTTAGCAAGGTGTGACCCTGTAGGCCTGCTGATTTGCCTGCCGAAAAACCCTAGCAACAGTTGGAGAGCTGGTTGTCAGGAGACATGGATGTTGTCAGAACAAGTTAGGGGCTACTTTGAAAGTCCAAGGCCAGCCACGTTGATGCAGTGGCCATGTAAATGGAGAGGAAGGATACAGATCCAGAGTTGAAGGCAGACTAGCAGCCCTGGTGGTTGACCCGAGTGAGTATAAAGAACTTGGTGACTGGGGTGCTCCTGCCATTTACTGATGCAGGAACTACAAGGGAGGAAGGGCAGGTTTGTGATGGTGAGTTGGAGGAGTGAGAAAGTGGCTGAGTTCAGTTTGGGGATTGAGGTACCTATGGGTCAAGCAGGTGGTTGTCTCAGTAGGTATAAGGTCTGGCACTTGGGCAAGTGGTCTGTCCTGGAGGTGACAGAGTTGAGAGTCATGAGGTCATTGGGGTAGTCATGAGATTGAAGGAAATTACCCAAAGAGACGCAGTAGGGCAACTTCTTGGGACACACACTGCATTTCACTGAAATTATTTGTCTAAAGAGATACTGAACGGCTATTTGTTTTCTAGACGGATCTGTTTGGCTGAGGCATTTCTTACTGCGGATACTATACTGAATACGCTGCAGAATGTTTCTGAAGGATTGGTAGTGTACCCCAAAGTAAGAATCTCAATTAAAAAGTAAAGTATTAGGGAGGGGTTGGAATGTGGGAGGGAGGGTGCTCTGGGGTATGTCGAGGGAGCTGTATTCAGATCCTGTAGGCCTTCTTCCCACCCGAGCTCATCCTTCAGCTCACAGCCTCTAGGAAACTAGCTCTGTGGGATTCATAGACACATTTATAGAAAAGGAAAAAAGTATTTTAAATTGCCTTAAACTATCTAGCAGCATGAATCATCAGCTCTGGCATGACTGAGCAGAGTAGATGGCTCCATTTGCCTGTATTTAAGTACCTGAGGCAGATGGGTTCATTTGTCTCCTATACTTAGCTCTTGAAGGTGGGCACTGAAATGTAACAAATGGGGTTTTAAGAATTCTTTGTATGTGACAACTTTTTAAATTAATATTCCCTTTTTTAAAAATCAAAAGTCTGAGTTGGTAAGAAAACTGAAAAAACATCGTATATTTATTAAAACAACCCGTTACTCTCTCCATAATGTGGTAGTGTCTGTGCTGTGCATTTTGTTTGACATCCTGCTGTGTTTATGTCTTTAGCCTTGAGGCACCTTTCTTGGCCATTCACTTTATCTTTTCCTATAGGTAATTGAACGGCGCATTCGGCAAGAGCTGCCTTTCATGGCCACAGAGAACATCATCATGGCCATGGTCAAAGCCGGAGGTAGCCGCCAGGTCTGTAACCCCTCATGGTCCTGGATAAGTTAAGAGTGCACGTTTGGTCCTGCTTTCTCCTCCATGAAGGAGAGCAGATAAAGGAAGGTGTTTATGTCATTACCTCAGTCACAGTAATGGTACAGAGCAGTGGCCATATTCTGCCATCTATGGAGGATGATTATGGTGAACTCAGTTTGTTAAAGGGAATCACTAAGGCCAGGCATGGTGGCTTACGCCTGTAATCCCAGAACTTTGGGAGGCTGAGGCGGGCGGATCACGAGGTCAGAAGATTGAGACCATCCTAGCTAACACGGTGAAACCCTGTGTCTACTAAAAATACAAAAAATTAGCTGGGTGTGGTGGCACACACCTGTAGTCCCAGCTACGTGGGAGGCTGAGGCAAAAATTGCTTGAACCCAGGAGGCGGAGGTTGCAGTTAGCCGAGATCACACCACTGCACTCCAGACTGGATGACAGAAGAAAAATCTTTCTAAAAAAGAAGAAAAAAAAAAAAAAAAAAAGTGAATCACTTAATCACTTGTAGAAAAAGTCCATGCCTAGTAAAGGAATGAGGTCTGACATTCCATAGGAAGTGAACAGCAAACAAGCAAATGATTCATGAGGGTTTACAGAAGAGGGCCAGGGCAAGGGCATCCACTTCAGGCTTGTCCTAAAATGTAGTCAGAGAGTAGTGAAGGCCCTGTTGGAGACAGACAGGGGAACCACCTCAGTCTAGAGGGGTTTTGTGCAGAAGAGCTGTACAGACAGCATAGAGGTGACGTATCTGATGAGTTTTTTAAAGAGTGTTCAAACGCCCTGTTAGTGGAAAACTGACAATATTTCACTGTTTTCCCAGGATTGCCATGAGAAAATCAGAGTGCTTTCTCAGCAGGCAGCTGCTGTGGTTAAGCAGGAAGGGGGTGACAATGACCTCATAGCGCGTATCCAGGCTGATGCCTACTTTAGTCCCATTCACTCCCAGTTGGATCGTTTACTGGATCCTTCTTCTTTCACTGGTCGCGCCTCCCAGCAGGTAAGCATACATCAGAAGGCATCTGAGGAGTCATCCCTAGAAGCCCTCTTTTCTGCTGGGCTGCAGGACCTAGGCTACTCTCTTTGATGTTTTTGCTTTACAGGAGGTAGGTGGCAATGGAGCTAGTTAGAAGGAAATCAGAGCAGGTTGTTGGCTAAAATTTAGAGATTTAGGTTTTGTTTCTGTTTTTGTGGGGTTTTTTTGTTTTGTTTTATCTTGTTTTTTTGAGGCAAGGTCTCTTTGTCACCCAGGCTGGAGTGCAGTGGTGCTGGGGTTACAGGCGTGAGCCATCACACCTGACCAAGATGTGTTTTGAGCTGCCTTAAGTATTTCTTTGTATTCTCTTTTGGTTTTGAGAATGTGGTGTAATGGACAAAGAATTAGATTTTATTGTCAGGTGGATACCCCAGTGTTGCAAAGATTGAAATGCCTGAGTGTATACCAGGTGCTCAGGTACTGTATTTAATTCTGGGGATTTAAAAATGAATAGAGGCCGGGCGCGGTGGCTCACGCCTGTAATCCCAGCACTGTGGGAGGCCGAGGGGGGTGGATCACGAGGTCAAGAGATCGAGACCATCCTGGTCAACATGGTGAAACCCCATCTCTACTAAAAATACAAAAAATCAGCTGGGCATGGTGGCGCGTGCCTATAATCCCAGCGACTCAGGAGGCTGGGGCAGGAGAATTGCCTGAACCCGGGAGGTGGAGGTTGCGGTGAGCCGAGATCGCGCCATTGCACTCCAGCCTGGGTAACGAGCGAAACTCAGTCTCAAAAAAAAAAAAGAAAAATGAATAGATAGGCCAGGCTCACACCAATAATCCCAGCACTTTGAGAGGCTGAGGCAGGAGGATTGCTTGAGCTCAGGAGTTCAAGACCATCCTGGGCAACATAGTGAAACCCTGTCTCTACACAAAATACAAAAATTAGCCAGGCTTGGTGGCGTGCGCTTGTAGTTTCAGCTACTCAGGGGGCTGAGGTGGGAGGATAGCTTGAGCCTAGGAGGTCAAGGATGCAGTGAGCCGTGTTCATACCCCTGCCCTCTGGCCTGGGTGACAAAGTGAGATCCTGTGTCAAAAACAAAATAGGGCCAGGTGCGGTGGCTCAAGCCTGTAATCCCAGCACTTTGGGAGGCCGAGGCGGGTGGATCACGAGGTCAAGAGATCGAGACCATCCTGGTCAACATGGTGAAACCCCGTCTCTACCAAAAATACAAAAAAAAAATTAGCTGGGCATGGTGGTGCGTGCCTGTAATCCCAGCTACTCAGGAGGCTGAGGCAGGAGAATTGCCTGAACCCAGGAGGCGGAGGTGGCGGTGAGCCGAGATCGCGCCATTGCACTCCAGCCTGGGTAACAAGAGTGAAACTCCGTCTCAAAAAAAAAACAAAATAAAGATGAACAGATAATCCTCATCTTCAGAAAAGTCAAAACTTAGTGGTGAAGACTTGTAAATAGGTCATTATAGTACCAGGCACTACGTGCAAGCACCGAGGGCTGAAAGACTTAAAACTGGCGGTAGGAGACCGATAAGGAGGCCACTGCAGAGGGCCAAGCAGTAGATGGTGAAGGTGGTGGGGAGATGCAGACCGGGGAGGGAGAGGAGGATGAACTCCTCGTGGCTACATGAAGAGGGCTGAAAACCAGGAGGAAAGAAGCCGTGATGATTTTTAGATTGGATGGAAATGGTGAAACCACCTGAGAGAACACAGGCTGGGCTAGTTTGCGGGAGAGGTTGGTGGTCATGTGGGCATGGTGGGTTAAATCACGTGTGTCTAGGCAGAAATTCCTGATAGGCAGTTGAGGAAAACAAGCTCTGGTGGAGTAAAAGCTTATCAAATTAGGTTTCAGTGGTATCACCTGACATTGGAAAAGGTCTTATCCGTTAATATCTTAACGTTTTCTTTTGTATTTGCTTTCCTCTGGCAGGTGCAGAGATTCTTAGAAGAGGAGGTGTATCCCCTGTTAAAACCATATGAAAGTGTGATGAAGGTCAAAGCAGAATTATGTCTGTAGACTTGGAAGAGAATTAAACGAAAAATCATTGTGAATTGCTGAGGCATGAAAATTCTGTTACTGTAATGCCTTATTTTACGTCAAGAATGTTACCTTAAATTAATACAGCATTTTCTTCTTCCATGGTGCTTTCCCATTTCTCAAGGTCCCACATTTCTCAACAATGCAGAAACAACGTGCATTGAAGTTTACTCTTGTTTACAACAACACAAACTTGCATAATAAATGTAGTTCATACTTGATCTCTGTTCTTTCAAGGCATATTTTCCAGCTGCCTTGTTTAGTCCTTTTCATGTGTTCATTTGCTTATAAAGTAGCATGAAATTTCTGGTACTGTCTTCTACAAGTGAATTTTATCTAGGTCTAGCAAAATAACCTGGACTCAGTGATTGAGTCAACCTTTTATTTACATTATTTTTGGCTAGAATAAGTAATGAAGTTTGGAACTACAACAAATACTTAAAAAATATAAACAACAACAAAAAAACAAACCCTGATGTGATTCATAAGGGTTACTCAGCTAAAGTTGAGTCCAGCCTCATTTCATCTTTTGATGAGGCTTATATATCAGGGAAATGCTAAGTGAGTCTATTGATTTCATCAGGGCACCTGACAGTCTTTATTCCTTGTTGCATGGACTTTGTTGTTGAGTCTTGCTGTCACCCAGTCTAGAGTGCCGTAGCACAGTCTCACAACCTCTGCCTCCCAAGTAGCTGGGATGACAGGCACCCGCCACCACCCCTGGCTAATTTTTCTATTTTTAATAGGGAAGAGGTTTGGCCGTATTGGCCAGGCTGGTCTTGAATTCCTCAAGTGATCCGCCCACCTCAGACCCCCAAAGTGCTTCGATTATAGGCATGAGCCACGGCACCTGACTTCCTTGCTGCATGGATTTATAGCTGATTGAAGCAACTGTAGCCAAAGATTGAGTTAATTACCTACCTGCAAGGAGAGCACTAGTGTTAGCCCATTCACATCCTATGTATTTTTCAGCTTAGATGAAGATGAAAGCTTTATCAGATTTGCAGATGACACAAAACTGGGAGAATTAACAAGTACATTTACTGGGCAAAATAAGTTTTCATCTCTAACCTAAGTAGGCTGAAATGATGTGCCCTAAATAAGTTCATCTTAAACTCAGTATGCATCAGAACTGAGAGAAGACTGTTTTAGGATGTGTCAATGTTGTCCAGTGCCCAAAAGCCACCAGAGGCTTACAGCTCCACACTCTTATCATTAGGTTCAATTTTGGATAACCAGTCTGAGGAACAGAGGTGAACTGGAGAGCCAACCTCCAAAGAGGTGGTGGAGGATTGCTAGGGCCCTTTATCTACAGGAGAAAACCTGTCGGCACTTCAAATATTGCTGTGTGGAGGAAGAGTGACTTGACTGTGTGTTGCCCCAAGAGACACACTGAAATCAATACCCATTATTAAGGCTCTGAGACTGGTCTGGGCCCAGAGATTGGAACCGCTGAGTTTAGCGACCTACCCTCAATCTCCCAGGTCAGTCAGAAGCTGGAAGATTGCCTAGTTGTTAGGAATGTTGTGAGGGAGGGGAGGACGAATCGGTTCCAGTTTTATCTAAAAGTAGGCAGAAAAGCAAGTTGCAATGATGTGCATTTACAGTCCCAGCTACTTGGGAAGCTGAGGCAATAGGGCCACTTGAGCCCAGGAGTTCAGTCCAGGCTGGGTGACATAGTGAGACTTTGTCACTTAAAGCCAGAAGAGAAGAGCTCAACCTATTGGGAAAAACCATTAGAAGGCAATTCTGAAAACCAAATTCTGAATATAGGCTAGTATAGCAAGCAAGCAGGAATAGCATAAAGCCATTTGTTCGACTTCCAGAAAGAGTTACTCTATTCATCTCTTAAAAATCTTGAAAAGATACTAAGTCTGATATAAGGAAGTTAAGCCATTGGACTCTGACCAGATACTCTGCTTCCTTCTCTGGTATGGGCGACTTCCAGACGGCAGTTACTATCAGTTTATCTGTAATCTGAGAATTTATCTTACATACCAGACATACTGGGGATATAGGATACCATGGATTTTAGTTAATACATTTCCTCATACAGAATAAGGAAATATAACAGTCTTGTCTAACAATTCTGTTAGACTCATGATCTCTAGTGATTGGCAGTTTGGCCTGGTTTCTTCCTGGACTATCTAGATAGGTGGGTTTGTTGGTGTATCTCTGTCTTTCCTTTTCCTTTCTCCTTTGTTTTTGTATTTACACATTGTGTGCAACTTTGTAATCTGATTTCCCTAGGTAACATTTTAATTAGATGTATTTGGGTGGCCTGCATGCTCACTGGAAAACATATTTTTTATATATATATGAATGACAGGATCTCGCTCTGTTGCCCAGGCTGGAGTGCAGTGGTGTGATCACAGGTCACTGCACCCTGGATTTCCTGAGCTGAAGCGATCCTCTCACCTCAGCCTCTTGAGTAGCTGGGACTGTGGCACACACAACCACACCTGGCTAATTTTTTGTTGTTTTTTGTAGAGACAGGGTCTCACTATGTTAACTCATCTGTTGTATTTAAGATTGGTTTAAATTCATGCAAACTCTAGCATCAGAACTACCCAGATGTCAGGTTGTGGGCAGAACATGGGACAACTGTTGAAATTTCTGTTCAGCTGCAGTCAGACACCTGGGCACTTAGTGCCCTCTCCCTGACTGATGCTCAGTTTCATTTAAGAACCAGGAGAGGGCCGGGCCCAGTGGCTCACACTTGTAATCCCAGCACTTTTGGAGGCCGAGGTGAGCAGATCACGAGGTCAGGAGTTAGAAACCAGCTTGGCCAACACAGTGAAACCCCATCTCTACTAAAAATACAAAAATTAGCTGGGTGTGGTGGCGGGTGCCTGTAATCCCAGCTACTCAGGAGGCTGAGGCAGGATAATTGTTTGAACAGGGGAGGCAGAGGTTGCAGCGAGCCCACATCACTCCAGGCTGGGTGACAAAGCTAGACTCCCTCTCAAAAACATAACCCAGGAGAGGAGAGCCTGATATTTGTAAACATAGCTTTAGTGGAAGCACAAGGGTTAGGAGCCATGAATGGTGAAATGAACCCTGGGTGGATGTGAGGGTGAGACGTGAGACAGGAATTGCACAGCATAGGATCTGACACAGAAGGTACTCAGAAAATTTTGTTTTCCGGCTGGGCGGGGTGGTGTGTGTCCACCTGTAGTCCCAGGTGCTAGGGAGGCTGAGGCACGAGAATAGCTTGAACCCAGGAAGCAGAGGTTGCAGTGAGCTGAGATCGCGCCACTATACTCCAGCCTGGGTGACAGAGCGAAAGACTCAGTCTCAAAAGAAAAAAAAAAAAATTCGCTTTCCTTCCTGGGCGCAGGAGGACTCACCAACCTTCCCATTCCGTGTTGTCGTCAGTGAGGGAGCAAACTGACCTGAGAATGCTGCTGTTAGATTCGCCTGCCACGGAGGAGAGTACACCTTGAACTCATTCTTCATTCTCTGGTTTAAGTGAATTCTGGTTCTGCATCGGCTGAATCCCCCGGGCCAGCTGCCCCTAGACGGCCGAGGCCACCTCAGGTTCTCTTGAACCAGAGAATGGAGAATGAGTTCGAGTTTTAAACAATTTTTATTTAAATAAACAGCTTTGTAATAGTTTTGTGTCTTGGTTTCTCACTCTTTTTTTTTTTTTTTTTGAGACGGAGTTTCGCTCTTGTTACCCAGGCTGGAGTGCAATGGCGCGATCTCGGCTCACCGCAACCTCCGCCTCCCGGGTTCAGGCAATTCTCCTGCCTCAGCCCCCTCAGTAGCTGGGATTACAGGCACGCGCCACCATGCCCAGCTAATGTTTTGTATTTTTAGTAGAGACGGGGTTTCACCATGTTGACCAGGATGGTCTCGATCTCTTGACCTCGTGATCCACCCGCCTCGGCCTCCCAAAGTGCTGGGATTACAGGCGTGTGCCACCGTGCCCGGCCTTTTTTTTTTTTTTTTTAAGAGAGAGTTCTCACTCTGGCCCAGGCTGAAGTGCAGCGTCGCAATCTGGGCCGACTGCAACTTCTACCTCCTAGGCTCAGACAATTCTCCCACCTCAGCCTCTCGTATAGCGGCGCACCACTATGCCCAGTTAATTCTTGTATATTTAATAGAGATGGGTTTTCGCCTTGTTGGCCAGAGTGGTCCCAAACTCCCGGGCTCAAGCGATCCGCCCGCCTAGGCCTCTCAAAGTGCTGGGATTACAGGCATCAGTCCCCGTGCCTGGCCTAGATGAAAAATATTTAGAAAATTAGCAAGTGATTTGCACCGTCTATCTCCCACCCTGACTGCTGGTCCACACCCTACTGTCCTAAGCTGCTCAGGCTGCGGTGCAGACGAGAGGAAAGCATCGCTATGCGTGCCGGCCTTGGGAATCGGGCGCAGAGCTCCCGGCCGCGTCCCGCCAAGTGGGCGGGAACAACTACAGCCCCCAGCATGCCTCGCGGTCGCACGTGCCCCGCCCCGCCGCGCGTGCGCGTAGACGCCGCTGAGCCCTGACGGTGCGAGCCTGGAAGCTGCTAACCCGACCTGGATTGGCGCTGAGGTGGCCAGCGGGGCAGGTGAGTGCCGGGCGGGAGTTGGCGGGGACTCGCCGGCGCCCACACCTTTCCCTCAGGCGGGGGATGCGGGGCAGCTGTGGTCGGACTGTCAGACCGAGGGACTCATGGGCCGAAGGCGCCGGTGAGAGAGAAGCACCGCCTCGGGCCGGAGAGCCGCGGGGCCGACCTCGCTTGCGCCGCAGGTGGAATGGGGGCCCGGGGGCGCGGCGGGGCGGGGAGGTCGGCTGCGTCCCCCGGGCCGGCTGCCCCTAGGCGGCTGAGGCCACCTCAGGTGTCCGGGGCGCGAGCCGGAATCCACCGCGCTGGCAGTCGGGAGCGGTTTTCCAGAAACCGCGCCTGATGCGGGGGGCTTTTAAAAAAAGTCTGGCTGGCTCCGGCACCGGGACAGCTGCCGACTCCTCCTCAGGTTAACTTGCGGCTTTCCCGTGAGGATTCAGATCCAGGTGCAGAACCCGAGCTCCAATCAGGCTGAGACTCGGAACAGCGGTGTGTCTGCATTTTAGCACGGGGGAAACTGAGGCATACGTTAGCCGGAATCACCCGGTGTGGTTAGGACTGGAATTTTGGAAATTATCCTCATACTTAGCTTACTGATCTAGGCTCTTTTTTATTTGGAGAGAAAAATAAAGATATTTGAAAGGTTGTTTTCAGTGACTGGGTGACTAGGGTACCTTCCAGTCTCGCGCTGTACATTTGTGGTAGGTTGATGGCTCCTTTTTGTGTGTTTTCTGGTGGGATGGAGATGTCTTGGAATATTCCACACTGACATGTTTGTGATTAGGTTTGTAGGCGCATAAATTTCCCACTTTTTTTGCTCATCTCTTTTAGTTCCAATTCTCTCTGCAACTCCAAACAATTGGATTACATCTTTGCTTTACACCATTTCTGTTCTTGGTGATTAATTTTATGTATGTATGTATGTATTTCTTTCTTTATTTTGAGACAGAGTTTCGCTCTTGTCACCCAGGCTGGATTGCAATGCCGTGATCTCGGCTTAGCTCACTGCAACCTCTGCCTCCCGGGTTCAAGCGATTCTCCCGCCTCAGCTTCCCGAGTAGCTGGAATTACAGGCGCCTGCCACCATGCCCAGCTAATTTTTGTATTTTTAGTAGAGATGGGTTTTTGCTATGTTGGCCAGGCTGGTTTCAACTCCTGACTACAGGTGATCCGCCCGCCTGGGCCTCCCAAAGTGCTGGGATTACAGGCTTGAGCCACCGTCTCCAGCCCGATTAATTTGTAATTCTGTAGATCGATATCTTTCCTGGCTTTTGTTAATCCTAAGTGAATGTGGCGTTTTCATCCCTAATTGTCACATTAGCCTGAGTTTTAATTCTTCTCCCTGTCCCTTTTTAAGTGTGGAGGTGTGTGGCCTGGGAGGGAGGGGAGAGGGTGAGGTGTTGTTCAGATACGGGTAATAGGTGAACATAACTCATGACCAGAACATTAGAAGACTGGACAAATAATTGCTTCAATATAAAAATGCATACCTCGTGAATCTGGGAAGCGTCAGGTTAATAGAAAAGTGAACTGGGGTGGAACCTCACAGAAATGAACCCCACGTTAGGGTGAAATATTGAGACGGGAACTGAGGAGATAATCATCTCTTTCGTTTTACCACGTTTCTGTGCCTGGAGTGAATGTGAGAACACCTTGCTGGCTCAGAAGCTTAAAAAAAAAGTTCTCTGTGTTTTCAGTTTTTCTCTTCTTAGTTCTCAATGAAGGTTTTGGCAGAAACCCAAAATCTTGTACATTTGATAATTTAACATCTGTTTCATCTGCTTACTCTCCTCCAGATAGTCTTTATTCAGCTGGTGACGTCAGTAATTTTCCACAGCAGCCATTCATGAGCTCATCCAGACTCACAAGGAAATGGGAATAGCACAATGGGTGTTACAGAAGCAAAAGAGATGCTGTTTCTTTGCCATCACACACACACACACACACACACATCTAGAGAATCTAGACTAGAGCACAAGCTATGTGGGAGGGGTCAGAACACCAATGTCCAGGCTCCTACCTATAGTAAAAATCATTGAAACCATTTATTGAATACCTTCTGTTTACCAGACACTGTAGTTGTCTCAGGTCGCTATAAGTGACAGGGCCAGAGTTCAGGTCTAACAGACTCTAAATTCTGCTCTTTTGACTCTGCTGTACTACCTAATCAACAACTGTGTTCAAGTCTTTCTCATTCATTAAAAAAAAAAAAATGAAACTTTCCTGTGATCATAATTTTCCTTCAGATTACTACCATTTATCCTACTTTTCCTTTCTAGACTTAGCCTTAAGAAGCAGACTCTACATGCTTCTCCTCCATTTACTCCTTAGTTCATTGCACACTGGCTTCTACCCTCAACTCTGTTGAAACTACTCTCATTAATTCCTCTCAACGATTTTTTGAATATCTACTGTGTATATCATCTTCTAGACTTACAAAGATGGCTAAGACACAGTTCTTGCCCTCAGGTAGTTTAGGGATTAATGAGAGAGAGGGTAGTTTATACATGTCAGTATGATATATTTACCGCTGATAGGGCAGTTTTTATAGTTAGAGAGTTGGGGGAGGAATACTTGAGAAGATGTCACTGGACTGGCAACACACAGAAAGCTTAAATTGTGCTAGACTGTAGTGTCAGGAGTGCATGTTCAGGCATATATTTTAAGGCAAAGCTGTATCCACTGAGAGATGATGTGCTTCAAAGATACGGTATAGGCTTTAGAGTCTGACAGAGCGGGTAACTGAGCCGCAGTTTCTTCTTTGTAATGCTTCCCTGCAGTGTAAGCTCTATGAAAGCAGGGCTTTGTGTTGTTCACCACCTCACCCTCATCTAGAACTGTGGTAGGTGAGCAATAAGTATCCGTTGAATGAGGCCTAGCACGTGGCTCATGCCTGTAATCCCAGGACTTTGGGAGGCCAAGGAGGGAGGATCATTTGAGCCCAGGAGTTTAAGACCAGCCTGGGCAACATAGTGAGACCCCATCTCTACAAAAAAGTAAAATTACCAGTCATGGTGATGTGTGCCTGTGGTCCCAGCTACTCGGAGGGCTGAGGTAGGAGGCTTGCTTGGGCCCAGGAGGTTGAAGCTGCAGTGAGCCGTGTTTGCACCACACTACTCTAACCTGGGGAAGAGAATGAGACCTTGTCTCAAAAACATGGTACCAGTACTATCAGTAGTAGCATATGACTGAAATAATAAGCTGTACAACCTTATCAACAACTGTGTTCTAGTCTTTCTCATTGAGAAAGTTTTCAGTATGGCTTATGAACTGATTTGGACAGCGCCGTTGTTTGAATGCTACATATATAATTACTTCCCCTTTTTAAAATTTAGGCTTACTAATGTATACTCACCATTTATAAATGAGGAGAGATACATTCGCCTATTTTCAGTGGGCTCAGCTAACCGTTAACTGTCTCTTCTAACATACGTCTCTTCTGCAGTTATATTTCTGCTTTTCTAAGTGTGATAAATGTTTTGTATTTGTTTTCCCTCAAATCAGAAGTGAGATTGACATCAGAAATGACATTGACAGGCCAAGAGTGGTGGCTGATGCCTGTAATCCCAGCACTTTGGGAGGCCAAGGTGGGTGGATCAGCTGAGGTCAGGAGTTTGAGACTAGCCTGAGCAACATGGTAAAATCCTGTCTCTGCTAAAAATACAAAAATTAGTCAGGTATGGTGGCAGGTGCCTGTAATTCCAGCTACTCAGGAGGCTGAGGCAGGAAGCTGAGGCAGGAGAATTGCTTGAACCTGTCTGTGAGGCAGAGGTTGCAGTGAGACGTGACTGTGCCATTGCACTCCAGCCTGGGTGACAAGAGCGATCTCCATCTCAAAAAAAAAAAAAAAGAGAAAGAAATGAGATTGACAGCATCAATTCAGTTTTTAAAAATCTTATTCTTGGAAAGGTATAATTTCCAATTAAGACAAAGAGAATTTTTTTTTTCCACTACAACATAATGATGTGACTTTTCTCAGCCTTCTCTAGATATCTAGTTATCCTGCAAGCTAACATTCTAAAGACATGAAACAAACTGGGCACGGTGGCTTATGCCTGTAATCCCAGCACTTTGGGAGGCTGGGGTGGAAGCCTTCTTACTGGAGCCCAGAAGGTCAAGACCAGCCTGGGCAACATGGTGAGACCCTGCCTCTACAAAAAATTTCTAAGAATTAACCACATATGGTGGCATGCACTTGTGGTCCCAGCTACTCTGGAGGCTGAGGCAAGAGGATCACTTGAGCTCAGGATATTGAGGCTGTAGTGAGCCATGATCACACCACACATCCCAACCTGGGTGACAAAGGGAGACCCTGTCTCAAAAAACTTAAAAAAAAAAAAAAAAAGATCATTTCCTTTTTGCCTCTCCTGTGTTTGAGTTCATTTGTAAATATCCTTAATTATGTTACTTGAGGATAGGGTTAAAGTCCAAATGCCACTTTTTTTTTTAACTTTTGAAAACAGTATCGTAGTCAGGAGTACCAACAATGAAGTTCAACTTCTGGCTGTACTGCTTGCTTGATTGACAGGGTCTTGCCATGTTGCCCAGGTTGAAGTGCAGTGGCATGATCATAGCTCACCAAAACCTCCAACTCCTGGACTCAGATCCCCCTGCCTTGCTCTCATGAGCTGCTGTGATTACAGGCACATGCCACTGCACCCAGCCTGGCTTTACCACTTTAAACTTTGAGAACTTATAAGTTATCTGTCTGATGCCTCATTTCTCTCACCTGCAAAAATGGAATAATTAGTGCCACTCATAATAATAGCTAATACGTATTATGTGTTTGCTACATATACCCGTCACAGGTCTAAGAATTTTACTTGTATTAACTCACAGTCCTCACATCAGCCCTGTGGATGGTTAGTATTATGCCCATATCCAGGTGAGGCAACAGTCACAGAAACAGTAACTTGCTGAAGGTTGCACAAGTCAGGGTGGAGTCAGGATTTGAACTTAGTCTGACTCTAGAGTTTTTGCTCATAATCTCCACCTTCATTTTT